TGGAAAATGCAGGACTGGCTGGTCCTAAACCATTCACAAAAGCATGTCAGGTTTGCCAAGTATTTTTGATTTATTTTGGTAAATGTAAGGTGAAAGGGTGGCTGTAAAAACAAACAAACAAAAAAAACTTAAAAAAAAAAATACTAAACTGAAGTACTGTGAGGGTGGGTTTTTTCTTTTAGGACAAATTAAATGTTTTGATTGGCTTGGAAACAGTGCCCCTTCCTTCTTTTGTTTGGGGGAAGGGGGTTACACCCCCCCCCAATGGGTTCTTCTCTGATATGGTTTCTGATTCAGCTATTAAGGCATAAGACTCAGTTCCCCAGCTAGCTCTGCTTAGGCTTCTCGTGAAATGCTATACAGGCCTGAACAGTGTTCAAGCTCAGAAATAATGAAAAGGATACGTTTGCTGTCATCACATGTAACGAGCTTGATGCTTCAAAAAACATTAAAACATCAGGTAGGTTTTTTGGGGGGGGGGGGAGAAACTGGAAAACTGATGCTTGATAAGAGAAGATTATTAGTGTTTCTCACTCTGCCAAGCTGCCTATGGCAGACCTAGGTGAGAAATCTGTCCAGTCCATTTGTTTCAAAAAAAAAAAAAGGGGGGGGGCTTTAAAACCAGCGCAGAAGGCAATGAACGCTGCAATTTTCAGTTATGTGCTAGAGTTGAAATTCACAATGAATGGACTTAAACAACGTGATTAAAACCTCTGCTCCTGTCCCGGTGGCGAGATAGGATGGGATGAATAAGGCTCTGGAGAAAGGAGTGCAAACAGTTGTCACAGCAGGAAATCTCTGCAAGGTCGGAAGCGAGACAACCCAAATCTGGCTCATCAGTCTTAGTGGTAATCTATTCCTGCAGTTCCCAGCCACTTCCTCTAAATGGCGATGTAGCATTTTCGAGAGGACAGCACATCTCACCCAGCAAAAGGGAGTCCGGCCCAATCTGTTTTTGCTGACTGCAAGCTGGCAGCAATGCTCCAGCATTCGGCAAGTTGACCAGGTAAAGTTCAGTTGGGCAAATTTAGTTACTCCGGGTTGGGCTGACTAGGAAATAATCTAGTAGTCCTTACAGGAGGCTTCTACCTATCTAATCAGGGCAGAAGATGTTATTGTTACATGTGTATGACTCCTGTGGGTAGGAAGAGAATACTGGATTTTAAATTAATGCCCCTTCTGGCATATAAGATAATTTCTGATGAAGCAGGTTCAGACAAATAAGGTACTGCTGTATTAAAAAAAAAAAAAATCCTAGAACACATCATTCCTTCAGAAAAATAGACTATAAATAAGGTCATTAAAGACCCTTCTCACATCTCACTACAATGCATTCGGGCTGCAACAGCAACACGGATCATGACTTTGATTATTTAAAACGAAGACAGACTCGCCCCTACAGTGAGACCAGACCTAGATTCATTCCTTCATGTTACCTTGGACTCCTGAGATGCAGGTTCTCATAGGTTTAAACTCCAGAATGATTTGAACATAAGATCCAGAAGAGGAAAGATAAAATTTTCCTCGTCAAAATCTCCTTTGCAAGGACACTTACTGGTATATTCAGCATGTGTTGAAACAGGTTGAGGCTTCTTCTGGTAGCTCTTTATTATATTAAAAAAACAACAACAACAACAAACACCAAGAGCTGTTCCAAGCTAATGCATGACTATCTTTGGGGTTCCCTCTTTTTGTTAAGGTTTTCACAAAATACAAAATTAAATGTCTTTTCTACATACAGAACACAGTAGAATCAAGTAACTGATTAGAGTATGTACAAAAACTTACATGTTCTGTCTTGTTCTTTTAAAAAATATAAATATCAATAATGTTCAGGAGAATGGGTTGGGTTTATTTTTAAGGCTTCATTCTTTCAGATCCTTCATTGTTTAACGAGGTGCCAGGTAGGCAGGAAAGGGAGGGAAGAAAGGAGGTCAGGTTTTTTATTAAAGGTAACGCGTTTATTTCTCATGAGACTCTTCCTTATCCCTGGCAGGAGGAGAAATAGCTTAGTCCCCTCCAGATTGACTTAATTTTCCAGGAAGCAGTCATGGAGGGAAAAGGCAATAAAAACTTCATTATTGTTGTTTTTTTCCTTCATTGGAATCTTGTTTTAAACCTGTCTCCATTCATTGTCATTGCAGAGAACCTTCTGCAAAGTACCTGGATTAAATAGACTCAAGCAGGAGAATTTTACCACAAGTCCATCTGGCAAAGGTTAGAGCGAGGATGAGACCGCTGGAGGTGTTTTACCACTGACCCCAGCAGAGGTAGCAAGTGCTGCAGCTAGGGCAGCTGCTGCTGTTGCATCCCTGGGTGTGAAGTCTGTGGGGAGGCTTTCCATCAGGCACTTGAGCTGTTCCTGACCCAGTTTGATCTTATCGTCTAGCTCTCGCTGCTCTATGAGAAGTGCAGACTTCATCTTTACAAAGTGCTGGTAGTCCTGGAGCTGCTCCTCGGAGAGATAGTTGCCCAGGATCTCCAAGACCACACGTTCTCGCCGGTCAAGGTTTTCCTTTAGTTCCCGGGCGTCTTCGTGCTGGCCAGCCAGCAGTTTCCTCTTCTCGTTCAGAGAGCTCTGTACACACCAGAGAGAGCGCTTCAATATCGGCAGCACCAACCT